TCGTTCTTGTTTGTTACTCTTTCAAAAACCTAAAGCTGATCAACTTATAAATGTGAAGTTTCAAATTTAAAGGAGTTTCCCACGAACTTGAAAGAAAACTGAACCATTACATCTTTTTTAAAACACTTCATCCATATAACTTTCCCACTTCGGGGCACTAGTGCTGTTGTTTTTTAGTTGGGGGGGGGGTATTGATCTCGTTGTAGTATAAGTTCTAAAATTTGAAAAACCGGTTGTCAGTTGCTTGATTGTGTAGTAAGGTTTGTTGCCCTGAAGAGAGTCTGTATGTTGATTCTCAAATCAAACGTCTTTCCAAATTACCGACATTGAAAATCAACTCGGACCGAACTATAGAAATCGAATTATGCACCAATAATTGTACCAAATTCAACAACAACAACTGTGCTGTAATGGTCAGACTCGGTTGAATCGGTTTCTATGATATCTGATGATATGAATTATGTTGAATGGCTGTACCAAATTCAACAACAACAACTGTTCTGTAATGGTCAGACACAGTTGAATCGGTTTCTATGATATCTGATGATATGAATAATGTTGAATGACTCAACAACAACAACTGTTCTGTAGAGGTCAAACACAGTTGAATCGGTTTCTATGATATCTGATGATATGAATTATGTTGAATGGCTGTACCAAATTCAACAACAACAACTGTGCTGTAATGGTCAGACACAGTTGAATCAGTTTCTATGATATCTGATGATATGAATGAATCATGTTGAATGGCTGTACCAAATTCAACAACAACAACAACTGTGCTGTAATGGTCAAACACAGTTAAACCCGTTTCTATGATATTTGATGATATGAATCATGTTGAATGGCTGTACCAAATTCAACAACAACAACTATGCTGTAATGGTCAGATACAGTTGAATCGGTTTCTATGATATCTGATGATATGAATCATGTTGAATGGCTCAACAACAACAACTGTTCTGTAATGATCAGACACAGTTGAATCAGTTTCTATGATACCTGATGATATGAATCATGTTGAATGGCTCAACAACAACAACAACTGTTCTGTAATGGTCAAACACAGTTAAATCAGTTTCTATGATATCTGATGATATGAATGAATCATGTTGAATGGCTGTACCAAATTCAACAACAACAACAACTGTGCTGTAATGGTCAAACACAGTTAAATCCGTTCTTATGATATCTGATGATATGAATCATGTGGAATGACTCAAAAACAACAACAACAACTGTTCTGTAAAGGTCAAACATAGTTGAATCGGTTTCTATGATACCTGATGATATGAATCATGTTGAATGACTTTCCATTTATTCCCTGTTCGAAAGAGGTGCTGATAAAACTCTTTAAAATGTAGAATCAGTTTTGTTTTGTTTAAAGAGAAAGAAGTTAAAATATTAAAATCCACAAAAGAACAACATTGTAAAATATATAATTCACTCAAAAAACGGGTAAAACTAATGAGTGGAATACATTTTGTTATATTAAGAAACTACAAATGCGTTTTAAATATATGACACTCATTAAAAAGACCTTAGAACTAAAACCACTTACAATTGAACGTTTTTTTATAGAAGACATGTAATCGCTTACTTGATAAAATTACCTTTCCAAAATTATTTCCTAATGTCTAGCTTACCATATAGCTCAATGTGTATTATAAGCATCGCGTTACTTCTGGGTTCCCGGAACTTGTCTGCAACCTTGTCCTTTGATTTCAGTTCAAAATGACAATTACACCCAAAGTGAAGATTGAATTTGATTATTAGGTAGAATATACAGCATGAATAACCCGAGGCTATCATTAAAAACTAGTATTGTATAGAACAAAGCTGATTTTGATGGATAAATGTAAAATGGCGTGCTTTTTCTAGGCTTAAGCGTAACAAGTGGAGTAGACTCGATTAGAATTTCAATAAATTATATTGCTAAGCTAAATCAAAATAGGTAATACATTTATTTTTATATTTTAGTGACTGTCAGTAGTTGTATATGTTTGATGTGTTTATTCTACATGAAAGAGAATTGTGTCATAAATATTATAACACGAAACCAAAAATTTAAAAACCATATAACCGAGCGCTTTCGAAAGATGGACCTTTCTTCTTCAGGGGCAATGGCTTTTAGCCCAGATAAGCCTAACGTTGTGGCATTACGAGGGCAAATAGTTTGAAAATAAGCTTATAGAGAGGACACTTTGTAAAAATTAATTTTCAGTTTCAAAAAGAACATTTTTATAATGCACTGAGAGAATTCAAGATAGAATAATCGGATAAATAGGAAAGAAAACATCTATAAGATATATTTCAATACAAAACGACATTCATTTTCTGCTTAAACATATTTTTGGTGTGAGCGTGCTTTATAGTCACTATGAGAAAACCTATACACTGGATAGATTAAGTGAAAACGAAAAATGTCATTGGCTACTTTTTTATTCACTATAATATAGGTCTAGCTTATCTCTCTTTGGATAACTTGTGTTCAGAGTTACCAATGAGGAGTGGAATTCTCCGAAACCTTTATACCCCAAATAACACACGTTGATCAAAGTGTAGAGGCCCGGCATGGCCAGGTGGTTAGGGCAATCAACTAGCAATCTGTGGGTCGCGGGTTCGAATCCCCGTCCCACCAAACATGCTCGCTCTTTCAGCCGTGGGGGCGTTATAATGTGACGGTCAATAAGTTGAATTATACCAAAACAAAAGCAGTTGGGTATATGAAACATGAGTCTTAAACGTTGAAAGTTGAGGAAACATTAGAATCTAATAGGCTTTACATTTGACCTAAAATCACGCTACAGCTTGTTTACTTTCACACTCTTCTTCCCCGTCCCACTAAATATGCTCACCCTTTCAGCCGTGGGGGCGTTATAACGTCACGGTCAATCCCACTATTCGTCGGTAAAAGAGTAGCCCAAGAGTTGGCGGTGGGTAGTGATGACTAGCTGCCTTCTCTTTAGTCTTACACTGCAATATTAGGGACGGCTAGCGCAGATAGCCATCGTGTAGCTTTGCGCGAAATTCAAAACAAACAAAGTGTAGAATGAACTGGACCTCCCTTGAACTTAGACTTCGAGATTAATCAGTTTTCAGAATACTAAGTTTATTTATCACATTTCCTCCTTCCATAATATAAGCTACATGCACTTTTCTCACGTGTGAAACGAGTCTTGATATTTTTGTTATAATAATCTGTGATATCTTTATTTGTTCACATCAGTATTTATTATGAAAATACGGTTGTAAAGTTAAAAAAAAACGAGTAGACAAACACGAACGATATCAATTAGAGGTTAAAACAAAAGGTTGTACAACTTCCGGCTATAGATGGGGGTGGGGGACATATAGGATGTGTAAAAAAATATATGGAAAATAGTATTGAAACTAATTTAAAAAGAAAATGTACGAAAAGCATCGGTTAGAAGGTAGCGGTTTATAAAATCAAGTTCTAAGGACAAAATATTTCATGACCACTTAACAAATATCAGGTCCACTAAGCCTAAGTAGAAACCAAAACACTGTTTGTAATCTGAACTCCTTCATTAACTTTATGTCAACTTTATTTAGTTGATATTCACATTTTCTTACAATGTGCATTCGATGAAAACATTTATATATAAACAAAAATGGTTACTGTAAATGCAGTGTGTTGTCTGAACAAAGAAAACTCTAAAGTGTGATAGATATTAAATGGAGATTAAAAATCCATTGCTTGATTAAAGATCATAATTCAATTTATTTTCCTTAAAATCAATTATGAGTGTGTGTTTGTGTGAAGAATGAATAACTTTCTGTCCCATTATAAGTGTGAAGAATGAATAACTTTCTGTCCCATTATTGAATCGTATACATAAAAATTTACCAACCCACATTGTCACCAGTCTGACCATAAATTTTAAAAGTATCTAAAGTGACTTTTTAAAGATTCCTGTTTTTTTCTCTCAAAAATGAAACTCAAAATTATGTTTTTTAACTATAAATTTCATTAGGACTATTACTCATATCAAAACACTTTGAGTCATAATCTTTGGTATTAATTTAATACAATCTTATTTTAATTCGTTAACCTTTCTTTTTCTACTGAGCTGTACGGTAATACAATCAGGAGCAAGTAATGTGAAGCGGAACAGATCTTTTTTCCAAACGCGACACATCTATGGTTCTTAATTCTCAATCTAAGGCTTGAAGACAAATTGGTGGATAGGTGCTCGATTATAGCTCAAATCATAAGGTCTAGGAATTTAAAAAAAAACGTATCAACTGTCCCTAACCGCCATACTACGAGATGATTAGGGACGAACATTACGAATTAAAAGTAGTTCATTTTTTCCAAAGCTGGGGAGTATAAAAACATTGCACAGCCTTAACTCACATATTAAACAATAATAACCGCAAAACATCTACCAGATACCAGAGATTCCCAGTTTGTCCCTGAAGACCCACCTTTCGAAAGTGCTCGGGTTGTAGGGTTTTTATACATTTCTGCTAGACACCAAATTAGGTAAACTGATATATACTTATAAAATATAAATCAGATAGGATAATAGCAAACTATATCATCTATGAATGCTGTGTTGTGCTTTACTGAAAACTTAAACACTAAAGTATTAATAGTAATGTTTCATCAAGTAGAGTTTGTCCTTAGTCGCCCCGTTTTATGGTATTTAAGACACTAATATTTTTCAACACTTTTACAATAATACTAAATGTATTATTGTAATAAACACTAAAGTATTAATAGTAATGTTTCATCAAGTAGAGTTTGTCCTTAGTCGCACCGTTTTATGGTATTTAAGGCACTAATATTTTTCAACACTTTTTACAATAATACTAAATGTATTATTGTAATAATACATTAAATAATAATATTATTGAAGCAATTTTAATTCAGTTAGTAATATATAAAAAATTTAAGAATTTAGAATCTAAATTTAAAATTATAGAAAACAATCATTACTGAGTTTAAAATATTAAACCAAATTACCGCTTACCTGTGATACTTTATTGTCAAACAGTGAAGCCAGACCTTGAGTAAATTTCACTTTCTAGTTTATGTATATATTATGTTTTCGGTACAATTGCTTTACAAATCGAAGAGGAAAATTAACTTATAAGTTTTTCTTGTCTCTGTTCTTTACCAGTTAATTCTTTTCCAAGATGGTTTTCAAAACTGTGTTCTCATTCTCAACACCAAAAACTCTTGAGTTACATCAAACTGCAGTTGGATCGTAATTTTGAAAAGGATGTCTCTAAATAGGCAGTTTATTCCGAATTTGTGTTTCAAGTGACCTAAATGTTTTTCAATAACTAAGATCAGCACTAGCAGAAATCAGTAGTGGAAAGGAGCCTAAAAGTAGCACATTACCTTTTCTGCCTAAAACTAGAAATGTTTACCGTGAGGAGCTTCAGTCCCGGCTGGAATGATTATGGCCAGTTGTTCGCTCTCGGGTAGAAATCAATGTGGCGCTTAGGGCTCGAGGAGCGGAATCAGACTAGGCGAATTCGCGCTTGACTAGTAGATGTCCTACCTGCTTCGCTGCGCTTGATGACGTCACAAAACCCAACCTCTCCATAGCAACCCCTTTAGCTATCTTCGAGCTTAAAACAACTTGTGGTATTTTTTCTAGCAACACATTGATTTTATATACTGAGTATATGTGACATCGCGGGACCAGACATCCATAAGTAAAGTCATATATATATATATATAAAGATTAAAACGTGTTTTAATAATCACTTTTTTTCTGATTTATTATTGTATCAAACAAATATATTTATCTTAATTTAAATGCCTTACATATTTATACCATATCTAAAACATGAGCGCTGAAAATAGTAGAATTCCATTCTAATACGTTTTAAGCTTCTCGCTCTTTGTAAAAGGGTTTTACGTGTTTAGTCATGAGGACAGTTTATTTTCCAAAAGGCCTGGTATGGTCTGGAGCTTAGGGCTCTCGGCTCACAACCTACGAATCCCTTCACTGAACATGCTCAACCATCCAGCCGTGGAGTTGTTATAATGTGGTAGTCAATCCTACTTTTCATTGGTAAAGAGTAGCGCAAGAGTTGGTGGTAATAGTGTTGACTAGGTGCTCTCCCTTTAGTCTATAACTTCAAAATTAGGGACGGCTGGTGCAGGTAGCCCTTGAGAAATTCAACAAAAAACATACAAATCTTCTCCAAAGAGATGAAAATTCCTAGATAAATCATCAACGCAAATCAAATATTATTTTATTGAACGTTTTTTCTATGGATTTTTATAGAGTCGTGAAATGACAAAATATTAAAAAAGATAATAATGGTTTACGCTCGAAACGCCCTCAAGCTTTCCTTACACAAACTTATCATTTAAGCAAGCTATAAGCTTATTTATCAGCCTAAACATATTGCCTCTAGCCTTTCGCAAACTTTCTTCAGAAGTTAAGCGCTTAAAAAGTTATCAAAAGCACTTGTTTACTATTAAAAGAGATAACGGCAATAATTGCCTTTGAAGAAAAAAAAAAAGAAACATTAATAATATTTCATCAAAGTTTCCGAGGGAGGAGTCTTCAACCAAGCATACATACAAAAAATATATCTCCAACTGTGATAACATGCACCTTTCCAACTCACCAGATCTTACTTAAATGCCAAATAGCCCCCCAGTGGCACAGCGGTATGCCTGTGAACTTACACCGCTAAAAATCGGGCTTCGATACCCGTGGTGGGCAGAGCACAGATAGTCCTATTTGTAGCTTTGTGTTTAGCTACAAACAAATAAATAAATGCTAAATAACCATGGAAAATTACAAACCACAGTTTGTACCATGATATACCAAGATCTATCAAACCCTTACAAATCAACCGAAATTAAAAAAAAACATATAGCTTTCAGAGATTTTAGCAGAGCTCAAACTGTTTATAAATGTTAAAGAATTTTTCATTTCTGAATAAATCCCGTATTTTACGCAAACCAGTTACGATAAAGATATAAACATGATTTCCACGTTGCACTCAAAACCTGTACTTGAGAAAAAAAAAACGTTTCCGGAGAATTATATCTGCAGGGTTAAGTTTTCACTGGTCATTACTCTAACTAAGTCGGGTATGTTAGAGTACATTGAATACTTAGTTGATAGAAAATATGTTAATTATGCATGTGTGCCTGTTTGTCTGTTCGTTTGTTTGTTTGTCTGAGCGCTTTCGAAAGGTGGACCTTTCTTCTTCAGGGGCAAACTTAAGAAGAAGGGTAGTCCACCTTTCGAAAGCGCTTGGGTTATAGGATTTTTATCATTTTGAATCAAGACTTATTGAACCTACGTGTTTTTCTTACATCATTTTTGTTTGCCTGTTTATAGCAAAAATACCAAAATTGTTTGCCACCATTCCTAATTTTGAGCTGCCAACTACAGAAAAGGCAACCGGTTGACGTCACCAACCACCAGTTCTTTGGCTACTCTTTACCAACGAATACGTCCATCATATTATAACGCCCCAGGGTTGAAAACAGCGAACATAGTCAGCTCTGAGTTTCATTCTCGCGAT